GGACGTTTTTCACATTGCAATTCCTTCCCCTCTGTGAAGCCAGAAGTCAANGGGGACATATTTTTCTTACTTCAAATATATGCACAAACAGGACAGAACTTACTCCTAATTGAACTGCATGTTGCAGAAATGCGCTCTGAGTTTAATTAACAAATCAGCTGATATTATTGTTTATACTCTAGGATATGCAATGCTATTGCAATTAATTAATGAAATCTTATGACAGTGTTTATTTTTCTTTCTGTTGACCCTTTGGAAATTAGTAAACTACTAATATGCTCTGATCTGCCTGTTTGTTGTTATCCGAATGACAGGTGATCGTATTCTCTACACTCCTGTAGAAAAGTAATATCGGGGTGTGCGATGGACTTACCTCCACGTGGTGCACCCTGGGCAACGTGTACTCATACGGCAAAAAATTCTATTAATCGGCAGTTGACTTTTGACTTCAAACTACCATTACCTAACTGTATGTCATATTCGATCTCTTTCACAGTACTCATCTCATATTTTTCTACCTTTGTATCAGCCTTGCTCTTTTACATCTGTTTATCTTTATTCTGTCACTCCTCTCGACTTGTTTCACTTTGATGTTCCTTCCTCTCTGTGAAGTCCGAAGTCAACTAAAGGGCTAATGATAACTATCAAAACGCCTGCCATTTGATATAAATAAATAATATAGTAATATCTAATATCCTCTCTTAGCAAAATTGTGACAAGCATAGATTTCTTAAGTTCCATTCTTCGAACAACGACGTTCACTAACTAGGTGTTTCGGTTATTTTATGACCGATTAATACTATAAATGGAGGCATATATTTGTGCAAATTTTGAGTAAATGAGGAGAATAAGGGAAGGCGTTATCAACAATAAGTAAGTTAATAATGAAAGAATTGTGAATATTTCCCAGTGGAATTGGGCACTATCATACCCATCGGGCAATGTCCGTGGGAACTTCCACGTGGTAAGCAAGCGACATCTACGTAAAAAAGAAGAACAATAAATGAAACAAAAAGCAAAATAAATATTAATATATATATGATATTTTTTCAATAATATATAATATAAATGTAATGCAAGTAATATGGTGATTTAAGATTGCAAAATATCTTAAAATAAATATGCAAAATTAAACTTACAATGAAAGCATATTACAATGGAGTGTATTTGATTAAACGCATGATTTGATTTCGCTAGATGGTTTTCTACCCTAAAATATTGATAAAACTTTAACCTAAAATCGTTTTTAATATTTTAATTTAAATAATTTTTGCTTTTTTTTATTAATCACCACCTCCTAGTTACATTATATCGCCAATGTTAATAGAAATGATAATGACCATTTTTTACATGTTCACATTGTTCTACAGTAAATCAGTGCGCATATATTTGGAAAAGCTTAAGAAATTCCAATTTTATTAAAAGATATTTTTCTAGTTTTTTATTTTGCTGAGAATATATGCAATGAAAAAAATTTATTTTGAATTCATATTTTTGGCATTGTTACTGTCAAAATAGTCAAAGATTCCTATTCAAATACTGAAACCCTAAGGAGGTACAATTAAAATATTAAAAATTATTTTAGAATAATTTTCATAATCTTGATTGCCCTAAATTTGGCTAAATTTTAACCGTTTCCGTATTTTTTTATAATTTGTTAAAGTTATGGCTGTCACTCTACAAACTCCACAGATGAATGCCACTATTCATTTTAATATTCATCTTATTTTCATAATAACGGGGTGTGCGATAGACTTACCTCCGCGTGGTGCACCCTGGGCAACGTATAATCATACGGCAAAAAAGTCTATTAACCGGCAGTTGACTTCTGACTCCAAACCACCATCACCCCACTGTATGTCATATTCGGCTACTTACACAGTACTCACCTCACCCTACCCTCTACATTAGTATCTGTCAGCGAATCACTCTTCTGTCTCCAAGCCTCACATTTTGTGACGTCGATGTTCCTCCTCCTCTCTGTAAATCTCGAAGTCAAGTGAAGGGCTAACGATAACTACCATTAAGACTGCCATTTTATACAAGTATATTGTCTGTTCTAAAATCCAATTATTTTTGTTAATAAATACGTCGAACAATTTGAATAAATTAGCTAAGCACATCCATAACTACAGTTGGGATAGATAATTGTGACCAACTGTTCCTCTCTCCTCCCGAAGATAATAGAAATTTTTAAAGATCTGGCAATGACTCGATATCGAAATCTTAAAGTAACATTCTGCACGCCTTTGGTGCTTGTAAGACTAAAAATCACCCAAAATGAAGATGAAGTTGAAGTCAGTGTTGCTTAAGGCACACATTGAGTTAGTAACTTCGTATTTCATAAATTTTGCCATTCCCATTAGATTTGGGATTAAAATGCCAAAAAACGTAATTTATGCGAAAGGTTAAATGATTAACTTACAATTATCTGTTCGAGACAAACGAGAAGATGATAGTGTTGCAGTTGACCGCGACTTAAACTTAGATTTTCGGAGCTGTGCATGGAATTCTCCATTTCTTCGTGAAGGGTACTGAGCAATCCTCTTTTAACAACAACCTCATCATCTCCATTCACTTTAGCTATTGGGCTCCGTCTATTTCGAACGGCGTTAATGTGGTCAGGAGGCATTTTATCCTCCTTGGTGACTGCAACATTACCTTCACAGGCTATTTTTAATCCACTTTCATCGTCATTATTCCGATTTCCTTGCTCACAGTAAGCCTTTTCTGTATCCATTGCCTTCATTTGCAACTCTGCCAGCCGTTTTCCCATCAGGAAAGTGGACTGCTCCTCTTTTGCGAGGATTTCAAATCGAGCGGTCTTTGAAGCCTAAAAGAGAAAGGAGAAAAGTAAAACAAACTCACCTTATCATGCACGAAAATGGTAGTCTGGTGCTTTACTCTGATTGGTTGGAATTTTTACTCAGACATAATTAATACGACAAATAGTATTGGGATAATTACATAAAATATATATGAGAAATATGCAAAACGAATAGAGGACTACATTAAGAGTTTAAGCTGAATTTAAATTGGATTTAAATAAAAGCCTTTTTGATCATGCAAAATTGAAGCATGATATGCGCATTTTAAATTTCTAGAAAGTGATAGAGAGAGGGGGGAGGGAGATATCTCCGGAACTTCATGATTAGCTTTTGACATGTAAGGATACGTTTGCATCTATGACTTGAAATTTTCCACTCTGAAGGTCATCCTTAAAAGTTCACTTTAAATTCGATTTGTTGGATGCATACGAAGGCATTAGCAATTAAATGAACGATTATATATACGATTATATATATATATATATATATAGGTTATCATCCTACCTCTTTATGTATCTGACGAAATAATTTTTAAAAAATAGTTAAGGTAAACAGAAGGATATATTTTCAAAAAATTAGTCCTCGTGGAACTTTGAATTTAGAAGAGACTCAATTAAAACTCAGTTTTATGTTAATTGAAAAAAAGTAAATTAAATTGAAATAAAGTTTTAATGCATAAATAATACTCGGACTAGGTATACAAAAAAACACTCAAGTCTTCATTTTTCTGAGTGAGGAGGAAACTTTGCTCGGCCATTCTTCGATAGCTAACTTCGCATTTTATCTCTGATGTCCTAAGGTTCAGATTAATTTCAAACACTCAGTTAATATAAACTACTTGAACCTTTAATGACCGAGGGTAGTAATATCAATCATTTCCATAGCTTTTAAATACTTGAATCAATAGTAATATACCCAACAACAACAGTACTTCAGCATGCATCTGGCTATAGCAACAGAAAGTAGAGAAAACTGTATTTATACTTTCTATGTGAAAGTTCTCATAAAATGTACTAATTCTCTTCATCAATTGGACTCCTGTTAGAATGGCAATAGTGACTATGGCCTTTCTTCACGGCTTCAACTGCATTTGTAATACTCCAACAGGTTAAGTTGATGCGAATGGTGGAAATCATAGACCAGACATAGAAATGGAAGTGGGTTGACAAGAATTTGAGCTCCTTGTTGAGGTGTGGCAGAGTGTGCGGAACCTATTGCCACCTGCTCTCCTTACACAGGGCTTCAAAAATACTACAGTGGGCTTTAACTTCAAGCAGGGATCTGAATTCAACTTAAACTCCCCTTGAAATGAGTACGGAGTGGTGATACACATCAAATCACCTTCGGTGAAGGAGAGTACATCCGAAAACCATGATTTTTTGAGAGCGGTGGGAGGGAATTTAATCTGCGTGATTCGAGGGCTGTTCTTTGAACTATTTGCAGACCAGCCCATCTGTTACTGACGCATAGTCGTTATCAGATCTATCGTTATGTTGCTATATTTTAACTGTAGTTTAACTGCAACATTACTGATTTGATCTTCGGATATAAAAAGTTATCTGAAATTTGGCTGAAATACAAATGATTTTTGTAGCCGATAAGACTGAAGTGTGAATTTATTACATTGGATAATCTTAATTGCATGGCCGCAAATTTCCCATAATATATTAATTGCACGGCCAATCTAGAAATTATGCATTTTGTTGTAAAATATTCAAATGAACCACTGTGACCTGGCAAAACAAAGTTGAAAATTTGAAAATATTAGAGAACTCTTCAACGACTAGGTGCATTGTGAACATAATGTTTCTGAATGTAAACAAATTTGGCATCTTACTTAGATATTTAGAGGAAAATTTAGAGACAGCGCACTTTAAATAAACAAATTTCTAAGATATTCTTATTCAAAAATTGTCCATTTAATTTGCCTATTTTTCCCCAAAGGCGTTTTGGAGGAAAAAATTAATAATTATACCAATTTTTTAATGGGAAATCACAAATTAACAATATTACTTGGATCCGTTCTTGCATTTTGTCGATAATAATCAAACATAGGGCTCGAACAACCTTATAATCTGTCCTCCATTTTATTGGATATTTGACAGTGTTCATTTTCTAGGATTGACAGTAAGGGTTAGTATATTAATTTGCTTACTGGTTGATGTAAATTAAATTGAGATTTATTTATAAAAATTTACAAACTCAAAGTGGCAATAAAATGAAAAGGTGGATATATTTATGAAAGCTTTACAGATATGAGAATCATTATTTACATGAGAACAGTAATTAGGTAACAACTTTTTGCATTTACTGAGATGAAATTCAAATTTTGTTATCGGAGTTTTAAAAGGAAGTGTGCAAATTTGCGTAAAATTGGTGAATTTGAATTCTCGATAGCGAATATATTTCATAAAAAAGCTAATGAATGTTGCAACAATAAGCACAAGACCAGTAAAAAATTTCGATTTATTTCATATTTTTCTGCTTTTGTTATTTCTAACTAAAAAAATCATTTTTTACTAGACTTTACGCTCAAAGCGGTTATTCTCATAGCTATTCATGCATATATTTTGAGGTTTAATTAAAAAGAATGCTCTGAATGTCTCCTTCACTCTGAGGCAGAATTCAATCCATTCAGATTTGCAATTGTGGTAACTTTAAACTTAGTTATGAAGCAAATTTGGCGGTACGTGTGAATTTACAAACAAAAATGAGATTCACATTCCATAAATAGGGAGTTCGGACTAAATCTATGAGAAGTAAATTCCCGTGCTTTTTCAGATGTAGTGATAGCCTTTAGTCACATTGTGCTTCCATTAAAAATTCATTCATAAACGTGAGGACAATGAATCACATGAATCCTCGTCATCATGAAAGCAATTAACTTGTAAAGAGTTGATTTTTGCTGGTCGTCAGGATAGGAGGAAGTGATGGAAGTTGGTTAATTATTTCTCAGCTCATTGGAACTAATCCATCATGAAACGGGGCATTTTAATGAGGTCGGTAAGGCCGTTGCTTCTCGAAAAAAGTAACATAACTAGCAATGTGTCTGTGCTCACGCAACGGAGTTTCCAGGATTTCCGCGACGCTAAAGTATTGAAGTACCCTGGCCTTGTGAACGCAATGAATTTGATGTTTCAGCCTCCGTCACTGAGCCTAAGTTCAACGTAGACCTTCGTTAATATTAACGCATGCAAACATGGTCTTCGATAGATTATTGATTCCTACCAGGTTGGTGTTATAATCGACGATAATTTTATTTACTTCTAATAAAATTCCATATTTTGAATTTTAAAAGGTTAATTACTTCTTAGCTACCAACTTGATGACACTGTCAAATTTACTCCAAGAGCAAATATTTACAAATTAAAGGCAAATAATTGCAACGTTTGTTTTTGAAGAAAGTTTAAATTGCCTAAATTAATGAAGTGCTGCGTCTATTAACTAATTATAACTAACCAATTAATTATGCCTCATGTAAATGCTATCATTAAATATTTTTAGTAGGAAAATGTACAAGCAATGAAAGAAAACATTATTAATTAGATGGAGCCATTTAAAAATAAGTAACATTAAATTATAATTTTAAGTGCGGGCTGAGCGATAGACTTACCTCCACGTGGTGCTCCCTGGGCAACGCATACTCATACGGCAAAAAAGTCTATTAACTGGCAGTTGATTTCTGACTTTAAACTACCATCACCCAACTGCATGTCATATTCGACTCCTTTCACAGTACTCACCTTACCTTTTCCCTGCCTTTGTATCTGTCTGTCTGTCTCTTTTACATCTATGAATCATTATTCTGCCCCCCCCCTCTCGACTTTTGTCACTTTGATGTTCCTCCTCCTCCTCTCTGTGAAGCCCAAAGTCAGCTATCAAAACGCCTGCCATTTGATATAAATAAATATCTGTGAATCACTTTTCTGTTCCGTTCCCCCCCCCCACCCCTCGACTTTTTGTGACTCCGGTGTTCTCCACGCCCTCTGTGGAGCTCGAAGTCAAATAAATGAGCAATGATAACTCTCACAAAGTCTGGCATTTTAAGTGTAAAAAATATTGCCTCTTTCTGGGGGAGGGGGGGGGAGAGAGGGGAGTTGGGGATAAATAGTTGCATTATCAATTGACCATAAATTACTTGCTGGCTAATCTTCTTATCCGTCTGCTGACTTTGCTGGTAGATGCGCGCAAAATTGGAGACAATAACGGGCACTGGCAGAGCAATAACAAGGACTCCAGAAAGTGAGCAAATTCCTCCAAATATTTTCCCCATCACTGTCACCGGAACGATATCGCCATAGCTAAAATGAGAAGAAATTGGGACATAGTTTTGAAGCCAATCCCTTAATTATGCCCTAGTCCACTTCCTGCTGCCTATAATGCTACTAGCACTTATTGTTTTTTTTAAATATAAATGACGACAAAATCATTATATATATATATATATCATTATATGGAAGACGATATCTCGGCATAACTATAAAATATATAAAAGCAGAATAAAAATGCTTTTCTTTTTTAAGTTAACCTACCTTTTTCTGTCTACTGGTGGTAATTTATAAAAATCCACCAATCGCCAAGCCCAGTTATAATAAATAAATACTTTATAAATATGTTTCAATTGTCCATAAATTATTTCGAACCCAGTAGAACGCACTGAAATTGAAAGTTCTATCACGGTGATACATTTGAACGCGGTAATGTATGATTACCATTGATTGTAGCTAATACAATTCAATTTGTGCACTTTTATTTCTAAAAGCTAATGGTTCATATCGCCATAATTCAATGTTCTGTGTTTTAAATGGGAGAACTTTTCCACTTTGTTTCTGAATCAAATCAACTTCATGAAGTCCCGAGCTCATTTATTTATTTATTTCAAATGGCAGGCTTTATGATATTTATCATTAGCCCTTAATCTTTGACTTCAGCTTCCCCCAAGAGAGGGGGAGGGGTACATTTATAGCAGTTAATTAATAGCAGTTCATTAGCAGTCTTCTTGCTTCCCAGTATCTTTGGCTTTCTGTCCTTGTCTTTAGAGCTGGACACCGAATCAGGTGGGTCTTCTCCATTTCCTCATGTAGGGTACATAGAGGGCATGTGGGTTGAGTGTATACTCCCAATCTGTGAAGGTGTTTTGCCAAGCAATCGTGTCCGGTACGTAGTCTAAACTCAGCAACGGCTTCGATTCTTGGCCAGTCGGGTATGTCGGAGAGTGCCACTGTCCACTGTTTCTCCTTTGTTCGA